TTCGTTGACTATTTATCATATGATCAATTGTATTTTTATATATGGTGTTACTATGATGATCGACAACCAATCAAATGAATTTTCCATCATGCTCTTTTATGCGATGCGACTCTTATTATAATTGAACCTAGGCATTTACTAATTTTACCCAGGTTTCACAATTCTGGCCAATCAAAGGACAGAATTAGGTGTAACATGAAAATTAAAAACAATCACTTGATTTTTGAAAAATTACATTAATCTCAAAATTTCGTCTAAAAAACCATCTTTTATGCACTAATAAAAAAAATTCCTTGCAAAATTTTAATATAAAGACACCTTCTAACTCTATCACTAACCCTAGCCAAGTAGGGTTGGAGGCATGGAAAATTTTTTGGGCATGCCCCCTAGGCATGCCTCCAATTTTTTTGTTTTAAGGGCATGCCCTATAGGCATGCCCCTATATGCCAATTTTTTTATATATAAATTTTTTGAAAAAAGGGCATGCCCTGGGCTACCGTGCCTCCAACCCTATAGCCAAGGCGTCATATTTTAAAAAGAAGATAACATGTAAACAAATCTAACCAATCAGAAACCTGGGGGTAAATTTGTAAAAACTGAACCTAGCTGCCGCACCAAAATTTCACGGAGGATCCTCGATTTTGATTGGCTATGAGCGATTAGACCAAAATTACTCAAAAAGTGAAAAATATCCCTGGGCTAATTTTACCATTGTGCGGGCCTATTTCTCTAAAAATTTCCATTTTGGGAATGAAAAAGTAATTCCGGCCAAAAATTATGTAAACAATTATGTAATGCCAATCAAAATCGAAGATCCTCCGTGAAATTTTGGTGCGGCTAGGTTCAATCCATTCGCCATTACTGATCTACTTGGCCTACCCGCGGGTATCGATCAGAATTACCGGGAATAATCCAATTCAATAGTTACCCTGCTTTAACGAACCCCATTTTTGGTATATTCTTTGACTGCAATTGGCATAATAAAAACTGCGTAATTAGTGGATTATAGAAAAATGACTGTATTTTATAAAAAATTTTTTTATTGTTTGTTTTGTAAATAAAATTTGGTATTTTGAATTTAAATAAATTTAATGTTGGAACAATGTTATTTGCACTTTACAAAAGATTAAAAACCGGGTCTAACTTGGACTTGAAACTTATTATATAAAACCTTGATTCTTAGGTTTTAATTTAGAACTAAATCAAGCCTAAACTAACTTTAACATTCATCACCCAGTTTATATGCAACTTGTGCGTGCACTTTATGTACCATCGTCGAAAATGATCGAAGTCTAACTTGTTCGGCATTTGGTATAAGATGCGGATCACCATCTCTCCATTCAGCCGGCACTTCGATATCTTTATCCGTGTATGCCAAAATAGAGAACGTGCCTATTCAATTAAGAAACTAGATAAATTATGTCATCGTACAAGATAAAAAAGTATATAGTTTTTCATACATTTATCTTCTAGAACTGGTAAAAATGAAACACTGGCTGTTATTTGACGGATAATTCCTTGAATTTCTTTTTGTATTGCGTCATATGATTTGTCTTTTCTTCTTTGTAACAATTAATGTTAATCATGTAAAAGATGTGAATATTATTGATTTTGGCATCCTATAGCAAATAGCCTTACGTGGAACTGTCTTGCGCTTTATTTTCATCGATGATTTCAATTTCAAATTGCCATCTTTCAAGCGTCTCGCGTGTTTCGCATGAGATGATTGCCAGAACAAGCTTATCTACTTTACCAGCCATCAACCAACCTAAATAATTTCATAAGTACAATATATGAAAAAAAGAGGAAAATTACTAAAATTTAATTATATTACTTACTTTCTATTTGATTTAACAACCTCTTTAAATACAGTTTAACATTGTCATCGAGTGTCATTAAAACATTTAGTCCGTATTTCTTTACCCATTTAAAGTCCTCAGCGGGATAAACTCCACGTTGAAAAAAAATACTATAATCCGCTTTAGCATCATTGAAATCCATTAAAATAAACGAAAGAATATAATATTTTTACCTAGTCAAAGCAAATTCTATGATTTCGTCGGTGGTGAGAGATTAAAATTAGATCACACTAATGATATTATAATATAAATTAGTTTACCAAAAAATTCTACTATTAATTTAGTAGAGCCTTTAAGCGATATCTTTCCTCTATTTGCTGTTTTCACTTCCATAGTTATTATAAACACGAAAAATATAATTGTTTATATCTTAAATTTTCATAAAATCGAACATTTAACGCGTGTGACATTAACCGGTTAATTTGTGAATATCTAAATGTGATCATTAACCAATCAAATCCATCCGTATATTGCCCTAACTTATTATTGTACAGTACCGGACAGTAAAACGCATCCAATGTTTATTAGTAAAAACTTTAAAGTGTTATAACTTTTTTAAAACAA